GGGGGGGGGGGGGGGTGATTGTTATCACTTTCTTATCACTGTCTTGGGTTGGTGGTTTATCTTTTGATCTTTTATTGATTTTTGTAAAAATGATTTTGCTGTCCAAGAAAACCCATTTTTGTAAAGGTGATGAGGACTGATGCCAATTATAACCAGATACCAGTGTATCTCGTGTAGTGTTGTCACGTCCGTGTATTTTCTGACAATGTAAAATGTAAATAAATAATCCAGTATTCCCCTCTACCCGTGCCGTATCGTCAGTGCAGTGTTGCTGAGCGCGTGTGTTTCTTTTTTAAAAATTTAAGCAATACGTAAAGGGCGCATTTATTCCTTTACAATGACGTCACCCAGTTTAACTATTATTGGCCTATATTTTCCCATAATTTAGAGACATCTGCTGTTCTCGAGTCAGTGTTTCCCATAATTTAGAGACATCTGCTGTTCTCGAGTCAGTGTTTCCCATAATTTAGAGACATCTGCTGTTCTCGAGTCAGTGTAAGTTTTTTTTTTGGGGGGGGTTGTTTTTTTTTGGAAAGTGTTTTACGGCGCTCGCAACTGCATAAGGTCATATGAGCGCGCGGGACACACCTAATATTTTCAGTTGGTGGGACATTATGAATTTTGCCCGGGTTGCGGCCGAAACCTACTCTTATCGATTTTAGACCATCAAGGGATCTTTAACGAGCGCAACTTGCACACGGGCCCTCCGAGATTTTTAGCCCTTGTCCGAGAAGGCTAGGTGTAGATCTTTCCTACCAGAAGATCAGGGGTGTGGCAGAAAGACAGCAGTAAGGAGGAGCCAAGGAGTAGCAGTAGAAAGGCTGCAGAAAGAGTCAGGAGCCCAGAGGAAGGGGCAAAGGAGGTGAGGGGGTGGGGGCAGAAAGTGGAAATGAAAGCAGACAACAAAACATTGCTAGAGAGCAGGAAAGAAGGTGAAAGGAGACAAGTTTAGAGAATAAAATTTTTCGGTCGCTACCCGGATTCGAACCCGGGACCTTTGAATGAGAGGCCAACACCTTAACCTCTAGGCCACGAGAGCCCCCAGTGTAAGTTTAACCCTTCCTCGCCTAGGTTTGGAAGAAAGTTTCCAACATTGAAAAACCGATCCTGGCAGTACGTCTCCCTTAACGTGAGAGCAGCATGATATTTCTGATTCATCTTGTCGGTAAAATTAAACGCTAGACTCCCCCCCCCCCCCCCTTGCAATTTATTTTACTACCTGACCCGCACATTGGGCTTCTCCACTCTCTATGGGGCAACATCTGGGATGCCCTGACGTCGTGCAATGTATAGTATCTGGGATGCCCTGACGCCGTGCAATGTATAATGTATGGGTTTTTAGTTTTAGTAGAGGTTTTACGGCGCTCGCAACAGCATAAAGTTATATAAGCGCCAGAAGATTAGATGTGTCACAAGAGGGTAAGAGACATAAAATAGAAGAAGGGGAGATAAGGACGATAGATGTTTCATTGTGTTTAACGCTCCTATCAACACTATTAGTTATTTAAGAAGTAGGGCATCTGAATTTAACGTCTGTCTCCTGTACTACTCAGCCAAATGGGATGAAAGTTTTGAAAACTCGACAAAACTATCTGAGCTCAAGAACGACAATAGCCCAGCATGATACCGACTGAGCTAACGGAGCACCCTAACTAGAGGTGGGCAAAGTCCGGATAATACATAAGGATAACCGGATAATTCTCAATGAAACATCATCCGAATTCAGACTCTTAACTCTCTTTCCTGGCCCGTTTGCCAAAGTGGGTGCACCCATTTGTTGAAGCAGTGCTAACTCGTTTGTCAAAGTGGTTCTAACCCATTTGCCGTAGCGGTTCACATCATATTATTTGCCGAAGAGGTGCACTAACACATTATCCGGGTTTTGCTAAAGCGACTCATTGCCCAGCCCAGAACCCTAACGTCATGTGCGTAAGATGCTTTCAACTTACTTTAAGATTCGGGGGGGGGGGGGGGGGGGTCGAAATTTACTTCGCAACTTGTCCGCAAATAACAGTTCAGTACGAATGTACAAATAA